TTTTCCCTTCCATTGGTTCATTCTTGCTTCCATTTGAACCAGGTAAAAATAACTTTATCGAACAAAAGAGCTCCCATGTTCGCGGTTTAAGATCAAAGATTTTGATTTCACCTGGTGCCAACAAGAGTGGGAAAGAGAAATAAAAACAAGGGAAAAGTCGAAATATATATCTTATACGATGCAGAGCCTGTCGAGTACTAAACACCATGATCAAACAATGACTCATTCATATCCAAACTTGTACGGTGGCCACTTATCTCTTTGGTTTCCCACCAAACAGCCGGAGTTTTCCGGGCCCAACTTTGTTGCCACTAAGCATGAATCGAAAGCTCAATACAATCGCCATGTGGAATACTTATCAGAGTCTGGGTATCAAGAAAAGGATCTGTGTTCTTCTATGTCAACTGGTCAGCCTAATTTTGAAGCTGCCCCTTCGGTAAAAAGCAGCTTTCATGAGCACAATGTCGCGTTTCAGCCTGGTAAAAATCGTTTGAATGTCAAGTTTGATTATTATGATGCCTTCTTTATATTATTCTAGATTCTCCTCAGCACAGCTGATTTCAAGTGGACTCTTCATTGGAAAAAAAAAAAAAATGTAGTCTTTGTTGAAGGACTTGAATCGAGTATGTATTTTATGCTTTTACTGCTTATTAGAAATTGGAGTTGGTATTATGGTGAAATTATGTAGATGGCTTTCATATCTGGAAAAACATGCCATATACTATCTTATAGTCTTTTGCAGATAAAGCTTTCCATTGCAATGTGGTACTCAGTTGTATCAGTCATTAGATGTAACTTTTCCTTTTTCTGGTTGTACATAGGTTTCTCTGAAACTTTTAAGAAGAAAGCGGATTTGCCATTTGGTGCCACGGATTACATCGGCCATCAGGTTCAAATAGATCATCATAATCAGTCAATGGTTGGTTAACAAAATTTTATTTTGCTTATTGAAGTGCCCACTTGAAAATCATTTTGCTGAAAATTTATAATGCACTATTTTCGCTCGTAGGACTGCACATCTTACCCTTTTGGTGGATCATATTTTGGAAAGATAACGTCTGTGGACTATCCAAATCCTGTTGTAAGTGCCAAACCACTTCCTCTCATCTCTTCGTACATGACTAACCTGATTCTATATGCTAAAATGCTTCTATCGAGTAAGTTACAGAATAATTTGTAGTTTACTTTATAACATTGTGCTTTATATGTATTCATGCATGAGGAGTATAAACTTCTACTCAAAATGGATTTCGATTGATGATCTCTCTCTCTCTCTCTCTCTCTCTCTCTCTCTCTCTCTCTCTCTGTATCGTGAAAATTGATCAATATATATGGTGATTTAACTCTTTCTGTTCCCTGGCTGGCCTTAATGAATTTGGAACTCAACATTTTTTATTTTACCTTGTTTTTATATTTTTACCATGTCTAATTTAAGGAAATTTTGGTTAAACACATTGTAGTAAGTGCACATTGTTTTGGTTTTTTGACCAGATTTATCCTCAAGGGATGGGATCTGCAGCAACAAGAGCCGTGCTTCCTCTCGATTGTACCGAAAGTGTGGGCCCCATTTACGTCAACGCCAAACAGTACCACGCCATCCTCAGGCGCCGACAAACCCGAGCAAGACTCGAGGCTCAGAATAAGATGACGAAATCTAGAAAGGTACTCAAAACTCAGAAGCCTCTGTTAATTAAATCAAATCTCGAGAGTAATTTTTAACAATCATATTCATCCCTGGTGTTGTGATTTACAGCCCTACCTTCACGAGTCCCGTCATCTGCACGCGCTCAAGAGAGCCCGTGGCTCGGGCGGCCGCTTCCTCAACACGAAAAACGAGCAGGTATCGGATCCCACGGCCCAAGCTTCGTGCAAGAAGCCCGACCCGCCCGGGGCCCAACTTGAAGCAGCCCAGCAGCAGTCGGAGAACAACAGTTGGGGGGCCTCCACCCCCTCGGGCTCCTCAGAGGTCTCGTGCATCTTCAACAACGACGACATCTTCCCGACACCCGACATGGGAGTCTCGATCGACTCTCTCTCTTCCTTGCACGGTTGAAAATGTTAACCGGCACCTCATCCTTGGCTAATTTTTGTACTGCTTGTTTTGGTGGTATTGGAATTATGTTGTATGGCTTTTTCTTAGCTTTATTTTTCTTCTTGGTTTTAACAAATGAACTCGTGATTTGAGGAGGACGTGAAGGATTTGCAGCTATGTTCGTTTAGTTTTCCATATGGTGAACGGTGATATTGGAGGTTCTTCACTCTGGAATGTATGCAAGTTCGTGTATTTGTGCGCGAGTATGTTTTGTGCTCGATTGTTTCGTAGGTCCATGTCTGCTTAACTTGTGCTACCATGAAAATAACCCCTGGAGTTTGGGGGCTACAGTGAATTTTCACCATGAGTGTGTGTTTGTGCGTGTGATCTAATGGTTCAGGGGAAGAAGGATCAAAGACAACAACAAGGTGGCAGTTTGAGCTCATACTTGGAAATTTCAAATGCTCATTGATTTGATAGCAGGGCAAACTTGAAAAAGTTGAAACATGGTAACGAAGAAGGCAAGAGAAGAGTTACATGCATTTCTACACTTTTTTACAAATCTACACTGGTCAAGAAAACCAGAACTCAAACATAAACTACACCTAAACAGGGAGGGGGTTCTCAAAACACAAACAAAAACATCCTCATCACAATTCACCCCCTTCTCAACACTTTCCTTCCTCTCCTCAAAAGCCTCATCCAAAAGGGAGGAAAAAAAAAAAACACTTAACCTCAAACTCACACAACAAACCCTTCCTGTCTTTTAGTCGACAGCCGCTTGAGAAACTCATAAGTCGTGATCATTGTCGTGGCCGACATAGACATCGAGGCCCACCTAGGCCCAAGCCCCCTGTAGCAGGCCCCCAGCCCGCCCTCCCGAACCAAATCCCTCACTGTCTGAATGATCGTTCCGCCACGTGGGCTTTTTTCAACCCCGTCCAAAACCTGAACCCTCGTCTTAATCGTGTCGAGCGGCATAGTCACCAGTGCCGATGCCCCGCTGGCCATGGCCGCACTCAGCCCCTGCACCGCCACCAAAGTCTTCCCATCCGGCTTATAGCTATTATTCTCGGTCTTCCTACACAAGTTACACCCAATCGACCCCCAAATCACCCTATGAACCACTGAATAGGAAGCCCACCACACGGCATTCGAGGGTGCATAGGTCAAAATCGATATCCCAAAGCCACGGTACAACCCCCGGATTCCATCAGCTTTCACAATCTTCTGAAATGCATCTATACCTCCTTCATACCTTCTGAGCCCAACCGAGCAGGAGCCCGAGCCCCCACCTTGCACCATCAGCCTCTGGCTGACGACATCGATTGGAGTCCACACCAGCTGGGCAGCTATGGCGGCACTAAGCCCAGCAGCAGCATTGGCTATGGCAGATGAGGAGGCCTCCGATAGGCCCAGGTGGCTGCTAGCTATGTTTCCCACGTTGCTCTTGGTGACCTCGAGGGCGCCCATGTAAAGGGCTCGAGCTGGTATGGTCCCCGTGAGGGAGGTCCCGAAACCCCGGTAGAAGCCTCTGGGGCCCTCGTTCTTGAGGATGTCCGAAGCCATTTTGAGGCAGGACGAGTCTTGCAGCATCACCTGCTGGCGGGTTTTGAGGACGACGATAGGGTAAAGGGTCCAGGAGACGCCGGAGAAGAGGGCAGCACCCAGGAAGAAGAACTTTGATTTGTCGAGCATTTCCCAGTTGACGTCGGCAGGAAGATGGATTTCAGGTGCTGAATCATCTTCTGCTGCACTCAAGCTCATCTTCGCCACTTTTCCTATCTTTTTCTTCCCCCACTTCAACAATGAGAGCAAAACCCACAAACAATATCTATTCCCAG